GGCGGGGCGTGCTGGTGCAGCTGCCGAAGGGGCAGGCGCTCGTAGGACACGTCTGCCAGCGGCTCTGAGGGCGAGGGCGGGTCCTGTCCTGGCTGCACTGGCCATTGGTGCTGCTGCGGGTCGTGCTCCTGGTCCACCAGCAGGTGCAGCTGCGGCGCCGGCGGCAGCGGCAGCAGCTGTCCTGCTGCCTGCTGCTCCTGCTCACGGTCCCGCCCCTGCTCCTGCTCATGTGCCACGCCTTGCTGCGCCGCGGCCGCTGCCACTAACGGTGAAGCCTCTGGTGCCGCTGTTGCGACCACCGCTGCTGTGGCCTCCGAAGCGCCTTGTCCAGGCATTGGCTGCGTCGTTTGGCGGTCGTCGTCTTGCGATGATGACTCAGCATGGTCGGCTGCGAGATGCTCGGCCTCGGCCGCCGTGGCCGCCGCCTCCTCCGCGGCCGCCTGCTCAGCTGCTTGGCGGTCGGCCTCTATCACAGCAGCGGCGGCCGCCGCAGCCGCCGCAGCGGTCGCGGCTGCCTCGGCCTCTTCTGCGGCCTGCAGCTGCCGCTGCTGAGCTTGCCTGCGCTCAGCCTCCGCAGCCGCCGTGGCCGCGGCCTCCGCTGCTGCCTTCTCAGCCACCACACGTTCAGCCTCAGCCTGCGCCGCAGCCGCGGCTGCCAGCTCTGCTATCACCATGGCCAACGGCCGCTGAGGCTCAGCCGGCAGCTGCCGCTCCTGCTGCTGTGGTTCTGCGGGCTGGGATGAAGATTGAGCCTGGGACGCGAGGAGCTCGCCCAATGCAGGGAGCTGCATGCCAGAATTGCGCTCTGCCTGGGGATGCGCCACCTGCTGTTGCTGCTCCTCACATGGCGGCTGCGGTGGCGGCAGCTGCAGCTGCGGCTGCTGCGGCTGCTGATCCTGCTGCTGCTGCGCTTGCTCTTGCATCGGTTTTGCTGACGGTGGATCCTGGGGCAGCTGCCAGCGTGCAACAAAGGGCGAGCGCCCCTCTTCACCTGGCCCCCGCTCGTGCACTTTGGATGGCGTGGACTCAGATGGGGGTTGGCGCCCTGGAACCACAGGCAGGCTCTCCTGCTGTTGTTGCTGCTGCTGCTGCTGCTGCTGCTGCGCCTCTCGCGCTGGCTGCTGGGACGGAGACGGCGCGGAGGACTGCCGAGGCAGGGGCACCTGCGCCGCCAGCTGTCCTTCAGTCACGCCCGCCGCTGCAAACCCATGTTCCTGCTGCTGCCCCTCGTCCTGCTGGGGTGCGCCTGGCGGTGACTGCGGTAAATACGCGGGCGCGGGTGCTGCCAGCTGCCGCGGTTCGCATGCGCTGGGTGCTGCATCAGGAGACGGCACCGCCAGCTCCCCCGCGAGCGCCCGCTGCACCGGCGCTCGCACCCTAGCCTGGCGGTTCGAGCGGAGAGAGAGGTTGCTGCGCTGCTGCACCTGCACGCGCCGCTGCTGCTGCGGCTGCGCAGTCACGGCCGCAGCGGCTTTGGGCAATGGCTGGGGCTGCTCCGATGGTGGCGGCGCCGCCGCCGCAGCTGCTTGCGCCGGTGCGGCTGAGCTGGTCGACGCCGCTCGCGTCGTCTCTGAGGCAGCCAGCGACGACGATCGCGCCGTCGGTGGCGATGCGGGCGGGGGCGGCGCGGGCTCCTGCAGCAGCTGGTCCGCATCCGCGATCGCCGCCCACAGATCTTCCGGCAGCTCATACTCCACCTCCTCGACTTCCCTTGTGACCGCAGCACCCTGGTTCCGCTCCGCCGCCTGCGCGGACGCTGCTGCTGCCGCCGCGTCCGCGCCAGGCGCCTCTGTCCCGCTGGCAGGGACCCGTGAGGGGCTTGTGCTGGGGGAGAGTGCGTGGGGGCTGGCGCGGCCTGGGTCCTGTGCAAGTGCTGGCACGTGTGCGGGGCTGTCGCGGGGGGGCGGCGGGCTCGCCGGGGCGGATCCGGGGGCCGCGCCGCTGCAAGCTGCGGGGCTGACGGGGTCGCAGCTGGAGCGCCTGCGGGCGATAGAGGCCGCCAGAAGCTCGGCCACGCGGCCAGGCGCTGCCACGTCGAGCGGCGTGCGGCCGGACTGCAGGGCAAGCGGGGGCGGCAGGCTTGGCGCAAGTTGACAGGAGGACGCATGCATGCAGTCGCATGCAGATGATGCGCCCAGCCATGCAGGCGCCTGGGCTGGGCGTACAGACCCACACGCCGCTGTCACAAACATCTGACCACAATTGACCTCCGCCAGCCAGCTCATCTGCCGCTGTTTGGTGCGCCCCGGCCGCTCACCCCATCCCGCGCATCAGCCGCAGCGCCGGCCTCCAGAAGCAGCTGTGCCGCCGCCTCGTGTCCCCCCGCAGCGGCGAGGTGCAGCGCGGTGGAGCCGTCGCGGGACGCGGCGCGCGCCAGCGCGCGGCGGCCGGCGCCGCTGAGTAGCTCACGCACGGCCGCGGTGTGGCCCTGGGAGGGGCAGGGTGGCCGGGGGCGAGGGTGATGGGGGTTGGCGCTGTAGTGACTGGCCAATGGTGACGATGTCAGGTGGTGTCATCTGAGGGAGATGTTGACATGATCGGCCGTAGCGCGATGTCACAGCAAGCGCATGCACATGAGAGTGATCATGATCCATGGGGCTCAGCGCTAGCGGGCGAGGCCCGCAGCAGCCACGTTGGGGCTCCGTGCCACCTGTTGCGGTCCTCTGGTCAAACCTGCACCCACCCGCCGTGCAGCGAGCATGAGGGGCACCTCCCCGGCCACAGTTACGGCGGCGAAATCAGCATCCTGCTGAAGCAGAAAGCGGAGGATCTGGAGGTGTCCAGTCTCCGCTGCCACATGCAGCGCGCAGCGCTCCTCTGCCGCCGCGCAGCTATGGAGCACGCTGGGTGTGCCAGCCACCCCGCGCTGTACAGCCACCAGATCGCCGGATCTAATGGCCTCGTGGAAGCTCTCTAGGCCCGCCATTTCACTGTATTCAGTGCAAAGGGGTGGAATCGCCCATGCGTGGATCGCGCAACAACGGATTGGATAGCGCCACTGATGATCCCATCTGGGTGAACTTACGCGTAAACATTGTGATTGATAATCCACCGCATGTCAGTTGTCGGTGCTTGGTAAGGCTTGCTGCCTTGGCTGCCCTTCAACATGCGCCAGCTGGTACGTGCGACCGTGCTCTGCTCTGCTGGGTGGGTCGTGCGATGCAGCACTAGCAGGAGCATGCAGTATGTACGGTATCACGAGCCCACGCCCTGGCTGCCAAGCTCAGGCTAATCAAGCAGCAATCCCTGCAGAACATGCAAGACACGGGCAGCACAGCAACGCGGCCCTGATGACCGCCATGGACGCATGCTATTGACTTGTGCCATGGACTCCCCTGCATCTCTTGCAGCTTCTCGTGTCGGCTGCGAGGCTTAATAAAAGTTGGTGGTTGTGTGCCAACCCCCACCCGACACCTTAGAGCTCCTCCTGTGTATACTGAAAATTCGCCCCTGAAGTTGCAATGTGACAAACAATGGGTTACTCGTTCGCAGTAGTCCCAGGCAGACGAACCACCCTACCTTCCTGACACCTGTGGTTCTCAAACGGGGTAGGGACCACTGGGCAGGGGCAAGCCAAAAGAGCGCAGCAAATCGCCAGATACCACCATCTCAGGGGCGGTATACGCTGGGGCCTATCACAACCCTTGCTGGCACTGCTGTGAGGGGTGCACCAGGGCAATCTGGTGTGAAGAGGGATGCTCTGTTGAAGGACGGCAAAATGTTCAGTGCCACACGGCTGTGAGCGGGTAACCCCAGCCATGTGTGGGCCGTCTTGCCGTCGACCCAGATGGTGTCCTGACTCGAAGACACGACGGCCGCGTCCACCAGCGCAGCTGAGTCGGCGGCGGCGGTGTGGCCGTCAAAGCTGGTGAATGGTGTCCCAAGCACTGCATCCATGTAAGCGGCCCTCAGCTTCCTCGGGTCCACCGCCTGCAACACGCGTGGCGTGAAGACCGCTGTTTCCAATAAGTCGGTGCTGCCAAACAAGCCATCGGGCAGCGCGTTGGCTTGCAGGAACAGGTGCAGCCCCTGCTGCAGCCCGCGCAGGTTGAGCTTGTAAGCGAGGTGCAGCAGCCGCTCCGCCTGAGCCGCAATCAGCCGCCGCAGCTGGTCGAGCTGCTGCTCTCTGCCAACGGCCTGGGGAGGGTCCGCCATGTCCATCGGCGCCTGTCCAGGCCACGCCGCGCCGCTGATGCAGGCTACGAGCTTCCCCCCCACAAGCTGGTACTGCGTCCCGTCCAGCCGTAAGCGAAGCCGCTGCCCGCCGTCCTCGACCTCGAGTGTGCAAGGCGCCCCGCTGCCGTCCCCGCTGCCGCTGGCCCCGGCGCCGCCGAACCCTCGCGCGAGGCAGGCGTCGAGGACGCTCTGGCAGGAGCCGACAGCGTCTGCAAAGGCGAGGAGATCTGCCGACAGGACGCCCGCAGCGTCGCTGTCCGGCGACACGTGCTCGTCGCCGCGGCTTGGGTATACGACTGCAATGTAGGTTTTTATTGACAGCATTGGATGAGCTCGTGCGGCAATCGGCACAAGCACTGTCGGCAACCAGGGAAGGAGCTGTGGCTGCGTGCAAGGCCAGCTTGCCCCGGGGGATACACGACATGGTGTGCTGCAGGGTGGCACCTGCACGGCGCTGCTCGGCCGCACCTTCCAGCCACGCGACCACAGTGGCGCGCTCCACCGCCTTGCCGTCCACCACCAGCGTCGACAGGTCCCAGACCCCGCCTGGCGGCAGGCCGCGCGCGCACGACGACACCCATCCCAATATGTCGCGGTGGGCCGGCAGTTCCACCCCGCCGGCCAGTTGGATGCGCAGATTGGGCTCATCAGAGGCGATGACCTCGACAAGGGAGCGCTTCTTCGTCTGCTCTTTCGACATCGCTGCCGCGGCTTCTGGCGCGGTGCGCGCGAATGTCTGCAGTGGACGCAGAATGTCTATGAGATTCTGCGCGGAACTCGCTGCTGCACGTGCGCGCTGTTTTGGATCAGCGAGCTAGGTGCAGAGCGTCGACCTGGGTGATCGCGTTTGATTCATTGAACCGAGTGCCAATGTCATGTGCGCTGGGGAGCGCTTGAAACAACAAATTTATGTACCAAAAACCCCGTCCCTTGCTGGACTCTTGGCTGGGTTCATCATTCATCAATTCAGGGTCATCAGCCGCTGACGCAGCACAGTGGCTCAGCCACCCCGCGCACCCCAGCGCACGTAGCCGTTCGAACAGCAATTGGGGTGCTACAGGATCTTTGTGGCTTGCATCTTAGCAATGCGCCGGCCCGTTGGCTTTTTGTGGCCTCAATTGGAGTACCATGCAAGAGGGAGCGAGCTGTATCGTCAACTCCACCAGGACCTCCTCCTCAACCGCCAACTGCACCGTCAAAAAGCCAGGCCGAGAATCGCAGCAGTCACCCAGGAAAGCTTGCACTCTACCCAGTCAAGCCTCCACCTCAATGCACGTAAAGTGAAGTGGGCCCACACTGTTTGTGCCCCTCTGTTGCCCGCGTGTTCGGTTGAGACCCGAGCTCAAGCAACGTCGTCACGCTGCCCGGGTCGACCTATGCATACCACGTGAATAGTTGGTCTATCAGGGGTATCGGTAGTACGGGAGTGGGCAGGGATAACCCACTTGCTTGCCGCGTGCTGCTGCAAGCCACACTCGCCTTGCTTTGTGCCTATGGTGGCGGCCAGCCCCTCCAAATGTTACCCAGCTGACGTGTGCTCGTCTCTGCTTACCTGATCAGAGGTCCATATGGAGCGCTTGCATCTTGTAAAACACCACACACTACGTAACTTTACAGCCGAGTACAGTACAAGATTCGTGAGACGTGTAAATGACAGCAGAGGGCACCCCCGCATTCGCGACCTGCGTGCTGTCTCTGCTGGCAGCAATGTGTCTCAAACCCTGTGCGCGCACATTGAGGCCTGATGACAGTCATCCGCTCCTAACAGTGTGCCGCCTTTGACTATTTCACTAGCAAATCATGGGTGCCATTCATGATGGCAAAACACCAGGAGTCTATATCTCACAAATTCTGGCAACTGGCATGCATGAAATCGTCTGCCGCAAGGACTGTGCACTCGTGGCCTTACCGGCACTACATGTGCCACATAAAGGAATGTGACGTCATCAGTTTTCCGGGCAGCAGCAAGTGGTCCTTGAACCTCGAGCACCAAGACTGGTGCCAGCAGGCAACATGTGTGCTGTGTCAAAGCGACTGCTGTTCGTCCAGCAAAATACACAGGATGATGTCACGGGAATTCCTCATGACTTCTTCTTCTGCAGGCGCACGCACGCCAAAATGGGGAGCGGGGTTGTTGGAGGTGTTGCAGGCGGTCACCAGGTCACAGCTGCCGCTGTCCCGGGACAGCGGGCCCGATGGCTTCGTCTCCCACTGGCCCCAACCTCGAATCGCCTCTCAGCACCGACGTCTCCTCCACCAAGGCACGACCCAGGTTGCACTCCGCCCATGTTTCCGATTCCCACTGCCCGACCCCGGCCACCCACCTGCGCCAGGCTGATAATGTACACCACAATGCCCAGCAACAGGGACAGCAGTACCATATCGACACAGAAGTTGCGCTTGGACCGCATCTGGCGGTGCGGGACAGACGTGCGGCGGAGAGAGACACACTGTCAGTGCCGCTGTTGCGGCGCTGGCACGCAGACCACCTTCACGCCGATCAGCACAGGAGCACGCAGGACAGCGTGAAAGAGGTCGGGTCACAGCTGCATTTCGCCTCGTGCCAAAGCTTGTGGGACAAAGGTGCGTGCGTGATTGGGATTGGATGTTGCAGGCCAAAGCGGGTGCCCAACCGGGCGCTCACGCTGACGAGCAGGCCCTTGAGGCGTGCGTTGTTGCTCTTGAGCTTGCTGGTGACGCTGTTGAGCTGCTTGTCCACGTCATCAAGGATGGGCACCTGCTTGTCCAGCTCCTCCTGGTGGATTAGGTGTAAGCGGGTGGGTGGGGTTGTTTCCAGGGGG